GCCGAAACCTTGTAATAAATATGACGACAAAGATGAGGGCAATAGTCCGAATAATGTAATTAGTGTACATAATACTTAATCTTGTAATAAATATGACGACAAAGAAAAATGGACAAATAGATACTGAAAGGCCAGAAACGTTGTAATAAATATGACGACAAAGATGAGGGCAATAGTCCGAATAATGTAAATAGTGTACATAATACCTTATCTCATAAATATGGACAGATACTGAAAGGCCGAAACGTTGTAATAAATATGACGACAAAGATGAGGGCAATAGTCCGAATAATGTAAATAGTGTACATAATACCTCATCTCAGAAATATAGACAGATACTGAAAACCTTGTAATAAATAAAACGTTGTAATAAATATGACGACAAAGATGAGGGCAATAGTCCGAATAATGTAAATACTGTACATAATACCTCACCTCAGAAATATAAACAGATACTGAGTGTAGTTCAGTTTAATACATCGCAAAAATAGATTTTAACGCGAAAGTGGGTGATTTTATGAGGTGTTGACTACTATCTCGATAGATTTATTTGGATTTTTTTTTCTACGGAGGACATATCTTTAAATATTACTTAATGAATATAACGTGAACTCATTTTTTACATAGTTTCTTTAACAACCCAGTAAACTTAAAGTTCAAGGAAATATTCTAAGTACCCTAATGTTTTAATGAATTTTAGGTTCGTTGTCATGAAATTTACTATAATCACCGCTCTTATTTTCTGGTAAATCCCTGTATAGAAATTAGCACCATTTATACACATACCAAAAATATTCCTAATTAAAAAAAATGTTATATAGGAATAAAAATGTCCCTGCCGACACTGGAGTTTGAACACAGATCACCAGAGAGCAAACACAGGCAATCCCATTTTGAATAAGTAGATCATGTGATGGCAAATGAAATTTATATATGGGAATTAGTGTGGCGTATAATCGATCACCATTTCTATTCTATCCTCTATTACTCTACGGATCACTCTTTCTATTCTATCCTCTATCTGTATACTATTCACTATACTATTTCTCTATACTGATCAATGCACGGATAACTATTCGGAGGTTACTTTTCGAAAGAGTATTATCAAGCAAGTACTATTAGTGTGAGTGTTATTCGAAGGCGTCTGACACCGGCATTGTTCAACGTCATTACTATAGTTGTAATCTGCGATTTTAAAGTCTCTACTACAAGTAGCATTTACAAATGTTCGTTGAGATAAAAAAAATACTGTGGATTGCTGAACGGTAATCTTTTTCATTTTTGATTAGTAAATATAGTTTTACTTACCTAACCACAACAGATAAAATAAATATTTATTATTCTTATAATATATCTTAAACGCTTTTCAAATTAAATACTGTCTTAGTTTTATTGCACGTTTTATTTTACGACTCCTAGCAGGTTTTCTGCAACTGATGATTTATATTCTCCAAAGACTTCTGCTTATAACTAATATAAACTTTGAGCTTTACAAAAATGAATTTCCCCAAAATTCATAAAATTAAATAAGTGGGATGGGGGTAAAAATATTTTTACCAAAATTTTCTAAAACAGAAACACTTAAAAATAATTTAATTTATTCGTAAATAAGTTCTGACAATTATTTGACTTTTGCAAAAATTTTCAAATCAAAAACACACACCAAATGTCTCAAGCATTAACCAAAATTTTGAAGTTTCTAAACAGTATTAAAAATATAATTTAATAATAAAATATCCTCTGGTCTTTCCTATTAATAACATAAAGATATTGACCATTAAACTTTGTTTTTATTAAGTTTGGACATTTTTTTTATCATGTACGCTTATTTTTGCGAATCTGTGGCGCTATGTTGATATATAAACACCTAATGCTTTCGATTTTATGTGAAAATTCTTACCCAAAGAAAAATAAACCAATAAATAATGGAATTGAAACGAGTTTCCTTGGTTATAAAAAGGAAACAGTGATTTGATAGGGTCCGCTGACGGTGGCACTTGTGTATCAGAAGCCTGTTACTCTTTATACGGGGATAGTGTCAGCTGACGGTGGCACTTGTGTATCAGAAGCCTGTGACTCTTTATACGGGGATAGTGTCAGCTGACGGTGGCACTTGTGTATCAGAAGCCTGTTACTCTTTATACGGGGATAGTGTCAGCTGACGGTGGCACTTGTGTATCAGAAGCCTGTTACTCTTTATACGGGGATAGTGTCAGCTGACGGTGGAACTTGTGTATCAGAAGCCTGTTACTCTTTATACGGGGATAGTGTCAGCTGAATCTGTTCGTCTTGATTCGGGGATCGACATTGGTTATTATAAAGAAAAACGAAAGGCAAAAGAAAACGTGTTTCAGCGCATTACTATTAAACCGTCAAGTATGGAACAGCATCAATTAATTATCAATTCGAGAAGAACAAGGGTTTTCCTAATAAAAGAAGATATTTTACTTAGATTTAACAAATAAAAGGCTCAAGAGTCACTCATGACAGAGTTTTACTGAATGAAGTGTATGATATATATGCCAGAATAGTTAGAAGCAACTGAAGATTATAAGGATAGGGAGGATAGATAACAATGAACCCGTGAAGGCGATCATGGCTCTCCACCCCCCTCTGTCACTTGCAGCTCTCAAGTTCCTTCCCTCTGCCACCGCCTCTAGACCACGTTCTGTCACCCACTTGCATAAAGCTGCTAGGTATGTCATGCGTTGCTTTCCTTTGTCTCTCTTTCCCTCTATTCGACCCGTGAGTATCAGATTCTCCAGGCGCTCCTTCCTCATTATGTGTCCCACGAAGTCCCTCTTGTTTGCATCCTCTCTAAGACCTCATCGTTGCTTACACGCTCGGTCCATGATATCCTTAGCATCCTTCTGTAGAACCAAATTTCCGTCGCATCGAGCCTCTTCTTTATCTTTGAGGAAATTGTTCAACATTTGCTGCCGTAAAGAAGGACAGATGTCACGTAACAGCTCAGGATTCTTTGTTACCAAAAAAATTCCCTTGTCTCACAACACTCTGCCCAGCTTTTGAAATTCGTTATGTATCCCAGGAACTTCAACTGTCTCTTTCTGATGTTAAGTATAAGTCTTCTTCTTGTTTGTAACCTAAAACCTCATCGTTGCTGACACGCTCGGTCATTAATATCCTTAGCATCCTTCTGTAGAACCACATCTCTGTCGCTTCGAGTCTCTTATTCATATTTGAGTAAATCGTCCAACATTCGCTTCCATAAAGAAGGAAATATATCACGTAATATCTCAGTATTCTTTTCTTTGTTACCAAAGAAATCCTCTTGTCTCACAATACTCTGCCCAGCTTTTGGAATGTGTACTTAGCCAACCCAATACGTCTACGGATCTCAGCGTTGCACGTACCGTCCTGATATTAAGTATAAGCCTCCTTCTTGTTTGCATCCTCTCTAAGACATCATCGTTGCTCCCACGCTAGGTTCATGACATCCTTACCAAAGAAATCCTCCTGTCTCGCAATACTCTGCTCAGCTTTTGGTGTCCGTCCTTGGCCATCCCAATACGTCTACGGATCTCAGTGTCGCATTTACTGTCCTCTGTCAAAACACTTCCCAGATATTTAAACTTCTGCCTCTGCTTGATTCTTGAGTTCCCGACCTGCAAATCGTTTCGGGCTCATTCTTTTACGGATGATCATGCATTCTGTTTTCTTGTAGTTTATGCTTAGTCCCTTCTTCATACTCTCCGTCGCTACCTTCTGTTGGAGATTTTGTAATTTTTTTTCCTTGTCTGAGTGAGTTGGTCTATCGGACGAGGGGTTCACATATGAATATAGAAATTGAGATATATCCGTGATAGCTTTGCAACGTTTCGTCTGAGAAATGAGGCTGTCGTGATGAAAATAGGTAATCCCCTACAAGGCGCTGTCAAGGTGGGAAAAGTGTGGATTGATCACTTCCAGCCGTGACATGGCAGCCATATTAATTCTTTCTCTAACCTGACACTTTGAAATATACAGCATAGCAGAACGCACTTCCTGGAGCTTCGTTAAAGCCAACTATTCTTCCTATATCTTTAGCAATGGGTCTTAGAGGAAATTTGACCTCAGAACATTCAGCGAGAATTTTTGCGTCTTATTTAACACGCAGGTCTTAAACTGCTAGTAACTGAAAATCTCTATTTTTTATTTTATTTCTCGCTATCAATAAACAGTAGTCGCTAAAAATTGCCGACTGAGGGTAATAAAAGTAACGAATTTAGACCATATGCTTTGAGCTAATTAACTCTACGGGAAGGAATCCTCGTAGGGAAAAAATATACAATCTTAAGAAAGTGAACAAATATTTCAAACTTGGTATTAGTTTGTTCAGAAAATAATGTCTGATTTTAGGAATAAATTTTATTCCTGAATTAATGTATTATAGGAACTTGAATCGTCAGGCCACGATTGCGTCTAGCATGAAACAGCCTGTCGTCTGTGTGTGTGTGTTATAGTAATTCATCGAGTCTAGAAGAATCCTCAATAGAATACTAAAAGCTCTGGACGGCTGTTTCATTCTCTTTGGGACTCATCAGCAGTGCGCTTTCACAACCGAGAATCGAACCTGGACCGTTACAACGCAAGCGTCATATATATATATATATATATATATATATATATATATATATATATAAGTGCGTGTGTGTGTGTAATTTACAGTAATTCACCGAGTCTGGAAGAATCCTCAAAAGAATGCAGAAAAGAACTGGACAGCTGTTTCGTCCTATTTGGGACTCATCAGCAGTCCGAATCCACTACCGATAACGTTACAACGCAAGCTTCATACTACCGGGCCTTATGAGCCTCATTGATGAAGAAGTAACAGACTAGACTCGATATAGTGCCGCTACCCACAAATTCCGTGGTGATACTCAGTGGTATGACGCTTGTGTTGTAACGGTCCGGTTTCTATTCTCGGTTGCGAAAGCGCACTGCCGATGAGTCCCAAATAGGATGAAACAGTCGTCCAGTGCATTCTGTATTCCGTTTAGGATCCTTCTATTCTTATCTATCTATCTATCTATCTATCTATCTATCTACACACAACGGGTGCAACATAAAAATTGTCCAAATCGTGTAACAGCATTAAACAAATTCAGTTTCTTTTTTCCAAGTTCTCAGATAACACATTTTGACATCATTTGTCACAAAAATCACTGAAAAACCCTTGGAGTTATTCAGCCAGAAAGAGAACAGAATAAAATCGTTTTCCGCCAGTCCCACTATATCTTCCCAACTGAGCAATGGTGAGGAGGAAAAAAGGTTATTCAGGTTTTCAGTAATGGTACCAACATTCATAATGTGGCTTGCATTTTCAAAGTCCATTCAAGAACCTTCAAGAGAACGGTGAATGTTTAAAAAATAGGGAACAGTATAGAGGAAAAAGTGGATCAGGATGTCACAACTGGAAAAAGGATTATCATTTCAACGTAGAGCTAAATACATTCTCATTCAAAATAGAGTACAATAGGTTTATAAAAACCTAGGAGAATTCTAGTAAGATAACTTTAATCATTTCTAAGATACAACGATTGAAAGCTTAAGCAAACAATTAGACAATTTTGATTGTACACCCGTATATATATATATATATATATATATATATATATATATATATATATATATATATATATATATGCATAAATATATATACACATATATATATGTATATTTGATAGTTGTATATTTAGGTAGCAACCCTTCCTTTATGTATGTTTCATTAAAAACGACAGACAAGGTACTACGGTTAAGCTTTTTATTTACTTTTTCTTGTGTTCTAACAAAAGATTTCTTTTCTGGACAAAGGGTGTGTAAGAACTGTCCAAATGTTTTATATTTCCGAGCACTTTCGGCTATGCATTTAGCCATTATCAAGGATGATTCGATTTTCAGCTTAATTGAGGTGTGTGCGTTCTGTGTATGTATTAGTGTGTGGAAGGGATGTTTTTAAAATCCGAATACGGTTAGCAAAGCCGCAACGTGCTAACCTATGTATATATATATATATGTATATATACGTATATCGTCTCGTTTAACGATTGAGAACTATGGAGAAGAGAAATATTCAGCAGTGGCTGCTGCAGCTATTAAAGCAGCATCGCTCTTCAGTTATGAATTGAGCTCTCCTGGCTACTAATTTGTCGTTCATATACATCACGTATATAATACATTAGAAGATTCCCTTTCAATGCCGTGTGCTGATAGCTTAGGGTTTCTGACTGATGCCAAATGCGTCGATTTTCGATCCTGGCCTGAAGCAATCGGATGAAGATGAAGCAATCTAGCCACACTGATGAGCTATGATAGAGCGAAATACGAATATAAATAATTATACTCGTTTGGAAAAACCTGAGGTGTTTTGGCTTGTAAATGAACAAACCAATGCACAAAGAAAGGTAAGGAACAAAAAAAAAAAAAAAAAAAAAGAACTAAGAACATGTAATTCAGGCTAAAACAATTGTCCAGAATTCAAGTTCAGAATCCAAAGAAAAAAACCCTCCAAAACGAGTAAAGCAAAGGTAACTATGAAAAGTGCTCAATACACTAAGTAGATCAAACTTAAGTATGAACCTAAAGAGTCAGGTAAACATAAATAGGTTTCACCTACGCGGATCGTCAGGGGAATCTGGTCAGGCCAATCAGATTACCCTGACGACCCGTGTAGGTGAAACCTAGGTAGATTTACCTGGCTCTTTAGGTTCATAGTTATATATATATATATATATATATATATATATATATATATATATATTCGAGTTAGCATGTTACTGCAGATTCTATACAGCGAGATGTCTTTTGGTTTAAACAATAGTCAAGATGCTTGAAAAGTGGTTAGCAGTGAGCGAGAGATCAGGGGAATAGGGTGGATGTGGCAAAGCTTCGTATCCCAGTTCATTGAGTTTCTACAGTGTCATCCGGGCATCATATCTTGGAACATTGTCATGAAGCTGTATTGGACATCTTCGATTAAACAATGCCAATTGTAGTTGGCATCTCCTCCAGGTTTTGGCTGTACATTCTTCTGGTTAGATTCCAAGAAGCTGTAATGGAGTACACCAATGCCAGACCAAGAGACAGTCACCATAATCTTTTGTTGGTGCCATTTCAAATTACGGTCAAATCACGCTGAAACACCGGTTCTCGTACGATCACCGAAGTTAAGCAGCGTAGAGCCAGGTCAGTACTTAGATGGGGGACCGCTTGGGAACACCTGGTACTGTAAGCCACCAAAGTCCAACCCTTACCTCACAGTCGGTGGGGCGGGGTGTAAACGGTAGTGTCAGAGCTATGCCACCCGGAACTTCTTTTCTGGTAGGGCCACCCAAGGCGGACAGGTCTGACACACACGCCGGCTAACAAGGGCTCTGGTGAAAATCCAAGGAGCGTCTGCATCGGTAACCGGCGGCTTCTGGTCGTTCTTGTCTCTGCGTCTGTGGGAATCCCGCGGCAAGCAAGAACGTTATTCGAGTAGGCCTGGGTACCCTACTTCTGTAATTTATCCCAAGAATCTTCTTCTCATAACAGGAAGAAGCCGGCTCAATCCGCCCAGGGTGAATGCCGCATCAGTACAGTTGGTGCCATTTCAGTTTTGATAAGTTTGTGTCTTAGTCATGATGAAGACACTGAGCCGATCGTTTGCCATAAAAAAACATTTCTCACCACAAGTTCCTATTCGATGAAGAATTTTGCAGCATTCATTCAAGACACCTGCCAGGTGACTTTCACCAATAAGTAAATTGGTATCGTTTAAATGAACACTTTTACTTATTGTAATTTTGTTGCATTTAAATTATTTTTTCTTGTCTGATTCTTTTTTGTTTTTATGTCTTTTCTATACCATTCATCCTATTTTCGAATTTATTTTTTCCTTTTCTCCTTTCATTGTTTTAATTTCATCCTACTCTTTGACTCAACTTGTATATATATATATATATATATATATATATATATATATATAACTGAAGCAGCAGAAACATAGAAAAGTGTACTGAATATTATGTTATATCAGTCCTCCTATACGGCAGTGAATACTGGATAATCTCTTTACTGACAAAGAAGAGATTTGAAGCAACAATTCTTTCCATTATCTCTCTCTCTCTCTCTCTCTCTCTCTCTCTATATATATATATATATATATATATATATATATATATATATATAATTCTTTTTGCTTATCTAGCTCTCTATATAGTCGTCTAAAGATCTCGATAGCGTAAAACTCAGTGGCGACTCGTTGTGTTCTTTGATATCATTCAACATAAATAAGCTTTTTTGCTTTGTGTAGGAAACCTAGATGCTGAGCACTTTACTGAGTAAGTAGGTCTTTTGTTTCGGTTATTTCCTTTTTTCTTTCCTTGTTCAAGATTTTCTCTTGATTAAAGTGTTAGGTCTTTTCGCAAGTTTGGTTTTGCTTTTTGGTGTCATTATTAAAGGAAGATGGAAAATTACAAAATTGATACGTTACTGTTTATGTTATGTTAGCCACACGATGACTACGTTGTCTCGGCGGTTGAGCTTTCATTTGAATGATACGTCGAACATATATAAACATTTACACCAGCATACTTGTCCACATTCAGAAAAAGTCATGTTGAAAATATAAACCAAACCATAATTAAAATTAATTATGAATGCTGCACAAATGTTTTAAAATCTTTACAGTGAATAGTTTAAAATATCGAGGTTTATACTAATACTTTTCAATACTTATTTTTTTAAAAACAATTCTCGACAACATCAAAATTACTTACCTATCCCGAAGCCTTACTCAAGCTATTCGCACAGCACTAAACTCGGTATTCTTTACTTCACATTCAGGTGAACACAGAGATTTTATCTTTGAAATTGATGAACATTTGTCTTGAAATAAACAATACTCTGATGATGACATTGTGCTAATATGGAAAGTGCTCGAAAGAAATAATATGTATTAACACAGTAATTTTCTCTCTTCCTTTAATAATGACAATAAAAGCTTATCCGTGAAAATGAAAGGATCCAATTAAAAAAAGCAGACAAAAATACCAAAATATACGCAATATATATATATATATATATATATATATATATATATATATATATATATATATATATAGTGTGGGATATTACGTAGTGTTAATAGTGATATATCTTAATGAGAATCCATCCTGTGTGGATGACTGAGCGTGCAAATTTGGCTTGATGTTTTGTCAACAAAGTGTATTTTTATACTAAGTTAAAACTTAAAAACTCAAACTTGCATTTTAATTCGCTTCATTTAATTGTGTGTGCATATATATATATATATATATATATATATATATATATATATACAACTCAAGTGCTACTCGTTTGTAGTTGATTGGTTGTTCTTGGTATCTGTGAAGAACTCGAATTCCTTTGATAGAAGCTGAAAGAAAATTAGGTTGATTAAGAAAAGCCGGCCTTCATATACTTACCGCCCCTTCCGTCACCTCTCGTCCCTGGTGAGAGATAGTCGTATGCTTTCGGCCATAGAAATCAGAAGAAATCACTTCACAAAAGTCGCTGTAATTTTATCTAAGCACCATTGAAATGACTTCATTCTACTCTGTCAATAATGTGTCATATATAAACATTGGGAAGAGGCAATTGTTGCGTCTCCTGTAAGGTTTTATAGACACAACCCTTACTTCCTACTACCTCCCCCCTCCCTCTTAATATACTAGAGTTAAATATCGTTTGGTCAAACGTTCTATGGCCGCTGATTGACTCTCCAAATTAGCTGAATGTTCATTCGTCGAAAAAACTGGAAATCAGTACCAGGAGTGTTTTTTTTTTTTTTTTTTTTTTTAAATAGAATTAGATAGGCATTCCTATCGCGTTGTTCTTCACCTTTTCACTCGAACAGGATTAGTGGCTCATACCTTGTTTCCTGTTTAGGCATGGCTTCCAGGATCCTTTCCTTTTGTCAAGCCTTAACAATGGTGCTGTCATGGATTATCTTGTGATGTGTACGGATTTTGGTTAACGGGTTGGCAGTTTCTGGTTTCTGTTCACGACTGATAGTTAGGAGCCCTAATTCTTGTGAAGCGTCCTGAGA